TGTTTTGGTTACCTAATTGTATGGGGTAAGAAAGATTCCTAAAGGCGTTTCAGGTCAAAACAGTGTCAAGTTCCATAACAGCTGGCTCCGTCTGCACTTGAACCAGTGCCAGTCATTTTCTTGCAGCATGGTTCCTTCGTAGGAGTTCCTAGGCTTAATGCACTGGTGTGAACTGTGTCATACCTTCTAGTGGAGACTCTGCTGCTATTGAAAGCATTAACCCATCACTGTTGTGCTCTGAGCAGGAGTAAGACCGTTTTATTATTTCTTATAACTGATATCCCCTCTGGGAAACCGTAACCTGCAGGTGTTTTTCTCATCAAGACACAAAGGTTGTTTCATTTCAGCTTCTAAGAGGATAGAGGTCCTTGCAGGGAAAGTTTAAGGCAGATAACAACCAGTGCACAAATGAACAGTGGTGGGTCTGTTAAAATAATACCTTTCGTATGCTTTTTCCCTAGCTACTGCAATCATGCATTGTAACTGTGGACATAAAACATTCTGCTCAGTTACTGTAAAAATAATAGCAAACACTACATTTACGACCGCTCACACTTCTGCAGTCAGCAGTAGTTCCCCCCTCCCCATTCTTTATATTTTGGCTTGTTATTATGTAACATACAGTATATAAACAAATTGATGGTAAAGAATGTCAAATATCTTATCAGCAAATATATCGAAAAATAAAAACTGTTCAGGGAAATGTGCAATGAAATGACTATTAATTGGCATAATGTATTACACACTGGCTTATTTAATCAAAAGGCAATATGCAAATGTGTGGTTACCAATAATAGCCAATCACAATTCATCATACAGTACTGTTTACAACAGTGAACTGAAATAATTACATAGTGATTTAGGTATGGGGCAGCATGCTACCTCCTCCCATGAATCAGTGCGCAGGCTTGAGTGGTAAATTACCAGGCCCAAACACTGTCACTTGAAGGAGGTAGTGGCACCATCAACCCTGTGTAAGCTCCAACACCATCCAAAAGCAAAAAAAAAGTTGTGTCTATCAAGTTCAACTTCTTCTGAACGAGGGGAAGTTTAAACTGATGCCAATGTTGGCTCAGTAAGAAATTTCAGTTTAATTTTTTTGGGTTAATCTGCAGCATCATGTCTTCCTGCACTCTTTTTAAATAAGCCTCAATAGGCGTGTAAGCTTTTAATATTGCTTGCATTCAATGTCTTTGTTGTCAGTCATTCTGCAGATGAAATTATAAATGAAATCATAGGAGTAGAATTAAGGTCTGGTAAAAGCTCTAAATAATTCTAATATGACGAACTGGACTTTTCTGGACTTTTAAAAATCAATGATTTATTAAAGTATATCTAAAGCAATTTGCTTTACATTGTGGAATAAGGATTAGTTAAAACCCTCTGTTTTTGTTTCTGCTGTGTCCAATGGAGATATTTCCTTTCACTTCCTGTTGCAGAGATATACCAGGAAGTGACAGGAAATATTTCAGGGGAAATTCCCCCTTGAATTGTTTCCAATATAACTACATTTTTTGATATCCATAATTTTCTGTATATTTGGTCACTGACCATTCAACCATTGTTCACTCTATCCAAAGCTAAAGAAATTATTTGATTTGGCCAACAAGTTAATGTGGCACACTTGCAGTAAAAGCTCTGTTGCCTTTCTCCACTGAAAGGACAACATACAGCAATACTGTAGGTCAAAAAGATTTCAAGCATACTTAAAAATCTCTTGGTGTGTCCACCATCTCCAACAATCAGAAGTCACACCAAGTCACTTACTGGCAGGTCATAAGCTAATAGCAATTGTTGCAGGCTAATCCAGACTGCATTCACTTAAAAATACTATGAACATTTTTTCTTAAGTTGGTCTAGTGACTTTGCTTGTGTTTTGTTCTTTACTTGTTAAAAGTATGTAAAGCATAGTGTAAGGGAATGTATTAGTGTTAATTTTAGCAAAAACTCAGATGTTAAGTTGAATTTATAAACTTACTTAAGAAAAAAATAACAATTTGAACTACCGAAAACTTTTTTGAATACATAAATACATCAAAAGGTGTTCTTTAGAAATCTGGATTATCAGAAGTAAGTAGTTTTTGAGAACTTTGATTTTTTCTACAATCTTTAAACCTGGGTAAGTGTTAGGGAAGGAGCGAAGTCCCCCTGTTTGCTGGATTGGAACCCAATAGCAGGAAACAATCCCAAAAGGAGAGTCCAGGCAGATGTACAAGAAAGGATAATCCAAAATGCGTTGTCAGAGTACAGCCCGGGTCGAGGCAGGCAGCGAGTATCATAAACGGTGAGGCAAGCCAGGGGTCGATAACCAAGAGATCTCAATAGCAGGGAAGGGAGGAAGGAAACAGGAAATGAGGTGTTGTAGCTGCTTTGGGAATGGCAGAATAACTCAGCAACAAGTCTTGGCTCTGGCTGGAATTTAAACCCAGCAGGGGCCAGCTATGCCCCCGTTGTCTGGGCAACCAGAAAGCCACAGGTCCCTGCGAACCAATGGGATGGCTGGGAGAGAAGGAGTGCTCGCAAGGCCCTCCCCCGGCAATGACCAGCACCCGAAGCGACTAAGAAGCCACGATAGTGCCACATGCGCACATCACGCACGCATGTCATGCACGCGCTCATGTGCACACCTGCAGCACTCCGCCGGGCACCAATTCACACCAAGAGGGACCCTACGATCTCCGTCACACCCGCCGGACCCCAGGTAAGAGGGCACCCCTGGTCCCACGACAGTAAGTAAATGAGTGCTCAAAAGGAATAACTGTCCATGTTGCAGTGGAAAGAACATCGGTAATGAATTGCTTAGAGTAACTAATATTAATAGAACAGTTTAAAGAGCAGACCAGATGGATTTTTAGTAAGTTTTAGTTAGAAAATTTTGATCCTCTGCATCTGTCCTAAATGAGGACAAATAATAATGAGATCCCTTTTAGAATAGCAACCTCTGAAACTGGAAATGATCTGTGGTCCCATGCTGAAATTATCATCAGTATAGTATTTTGTACAAGAAATCTTTGACATTAGAACTTTTCCTGGTCTCATCAACTGGATGGAGGTCAAGCCTTCCCCTAGACCAATACTGTGAATTCTTGATAAATCCGATCTCAAAGATATATGTACATGGCCAAACAAAGAGCTTTACTAATTCTTTAACCTCAGTAACAACCTAAATATAACCTGTACTGTTCTTATTAAATGACTTTTTTTTGGCTAGTGATACAGATATTTTACCTATTTTTCTGATCATTTTTCTCAGACCTATTTCGTCTCATTGTAAGATGATTTTAAAAAGTATTTTTTTGTCTCTGACACTTTTATTGGAATAGTACACGGACTAGGTTTCTGTTCAGTTTCCATTTAGGATTCAGGAAAGCTTGCAAAAGTCTGTCAAACCAAGTGTTAGAAAAGGGAAAGGACTGTAGGTTTGTATATTTATGTATCTATGGAGACTCTTCAAACAGTCTCCTCTCTGATATATGTTTCTTTATTTGGCGTTAACATCTTTCAGGGCAGCTTCATCCCTCATCCACCTAGAGCACAATTGGAACTATGTTCTTGGAATGAAAAGGCAAAGTCACTGGGTTATGTGATACCCTCATCCGGAAAGGAAGGGGGATACCATATTGCTAGCCTTTCTCTCTTCTTCACATACAGCTTCTGATTCTTAACACTTTGCCTAGAGAGACAGAATAAAAATATTTCAAAGTGTCATTGGTAAATGCACAGCTAGCAGTTTATATAGGCTGCTTCTCAATACCTTAGCAGTAAAAGGAACATAAAAAGTTTTTTTGCTATCCCAAAAAAAATAAATACATAAGATGTGTGTGTGTGTGTATGTTGGCTGTATATTCACAAATATGTATTTCTAGGGGGTTTCACTTTTTAATGGTATTCTCAGATAATATGCTATGTGTAGGCAGCCATTTCTGACCTTAAATGCTAGTTACTTAGCTCTATCTGAATTCTATATTTTAAGTCACCAACCTGGAACGAGCATATGCAAAAAGCGAAGCAAAAGTGAGGTCAAGAACCCTGATCTGCATACTTGTTCTGGGTCAGTCTGGGGCAGCCATTAGATAAGTATGGAATTCAGGTAACCTGCATTTGCAAAGGAGAGGTCAGCAATGGCAGCCTCCATGTTCCAAAAGTACAGGTTACCTCATAGGGGCTAATTTTAACACAGGGTGTATACAGCTATCTACTCTCCATTACACTCCACAGTATTACGCAGCACTGCATTAATTTTAATAGTACTCTCATAGTTTTGGAGTCCCAAAGCCAGCACAGCACTATGCACATTTGAAAATCTCATTGCTTTGAGACTGGAGGGCACTGTGGAGGTTGGGGGTGCTGTGGAACACTGTTGAAGGTTGGGGGCACTGTGGGGGTCTTGAGGCTCTGCAGCAGGCTGGAGATTACTGTCTGTGGCACACTGTTGAAGGTTCAGGATACTCGGAGGGG